GGGGGGTAGCCGATGGCATGGTCGAAGAGGAGGGTCTTGAGGCGGGACTTGAAGGAGGATAAGGAGGGGGCGAGGGGGAGGGACTGGGGGATGGAATTCCAGAGGTTGGGGGCAAAGTGGCTGAAGGCTCTCCCGCCAATGGTATGGCGGGTGGGTCGAGGGACATGGAGCAGGCCAGAGCCGGCTGAGCGGAGGGAGCGGGCGGGTTCGTAAAGGGTTAGGAGGTCGCAGAGGTAGGGTGGGGCAAGGCCATGGAGCTTTGTATATGAGGACCAGGATCTTGAACTAGATCCTCTGAAGGATAGGAAGCCAATGGAGTTGGGCGAGAGTGGGGGAAATGGGTTCACGGAGTTTGGTGTGGCGAGGACACGGGCTGCAGAGTTCTGGATTATCTGCAGCCTGTGGAGGGAGGAGTTGGGAAGGCCGACAAGCAGGGCATTTGCATAGTTGAGCCTGGAGGTGATGAAGGCATGAACAAGAGTTTCAGCGGCCTGAGGGGTGAGGTAGTGGCGGAGTCGGGTGATGTTACGGAGGTGAGGGAAGGCAGAGCGGGTCATGGCTTGAATGTGGGGGAGAAAAGACAGTTGAGGGTCGAACAAGACACCTAGGTTCCTGACTGGCTTGGTGAGTTGCAGTGTGCAACAATGGAGATTGATGTTGCTTGAGCCTGAGGTACTCAGGCGCTGACGCGAGTCAATCAGGAGGGCCTCAGTCTTGTTCACATTCAACTGTAGGAAATTTGCCCTCATCCAGAACTTGTCTGTCAGGACGGCAGTGGTCCTGGAGTTGAGGGTGGAGGCAGAAAGACAGAGTTGGGTGTCATCCGCATATATGTGGAAGTTGACCCCATGTCTGAGATGATGTAAACAAGGGGAACATGTAGATATTAAAGAGGACCTTTAATGTCCACCTGAAAAAGTCCCCCAAAACTTCTGTCCATAACTCAGCCTTTTGCCGCTATTGTTAAACCATTTTCTGTAATTTTGCACTTCACTGCTTGGACTTCTCAGACTTTACAGGGGTCAAGTGGCTCTTGGCTGCTTCAGAACTATAAATGCTGATTACTGCCTGTGTGTAATGAATGGCTGCATGTTTGTCATCAACATTTCTAACACTCAGCACTTAGATGTGCTGAGTGCTTCTTGCAATTCTATTCTAGTTTCATTGAAATTGAGGTCTAACACCATTTGAGTAGAATTCCACCTGGGTCAAGATTTGCTCCATTTTTTTTAGTATTTCAAAGCATGCAGAATTTGACAAATTGTTGAAGGTAGTTCTTAAAAAAAATGAACAGAAACTGGCTTCTGATCTGACTACAACAGTAACCTCTTGTGATCCTATTGCCCAGACGCTCTCTCTGCTCACCAAAGAGCGGCCTGCTTCATGCCCCTGATCATATTGCCCCACCTTCAGCTACTCTGCCACTGCGCACTGGAGCTCCCTTCCAGAATCCCTTTGCCTTTCGCTCTCCCTCTCCACCTTCATAGCCATCTTATTCCCTCCTCTCACTTCTCAGCTTCGACCCACAACTTGGTCTGCAGGCCAGCACTGTTAAATGCTTTGAGATGTACTTCTGATGTGAAAGGCATTATATAATTATAAATTGCTGTCTGCACTTTTTAGTCTATTTTCAAACAAACAACCAACAAAACAACAACAAGATTACACTTAATCTTTCACGTCGGGAAGACGTACCAAAGCGCTGAACAGTCAGGTGTCAGGGCCCGAGCATGGGGGAGGGCTGCGGGAAGGCAGAAAGGCGGGAGGGCGACCAAAGGCATGATCAAAGAGTCTTGAGACCGGCCTTGAAGGAGGCAAGGAAGGAAACGAGGCGAAGGGACTGTGGGATGGAGTTCTAGAGTGTGGGGGCAGAGAGGCTGAAAGCCCGGCCACCGATGGTAGAGTGGGTCGGGTGGGAGACGTGGAGCAGGCTGGAGCCCACTGAGCTGAGGGAGTGGGCAGGTTGGTAGGGAGTCAGCAGGTCAGAGAGGTAGGAGGCGGCAAGGCCATGGATGGCCTTGAATGTGAGGACAAGGATCTTGAACTCTATCTTCTGGGTGATGGGGAGCCAGTGGAGTCGGGCGAGGGTGGGAGTGATGGGGTCGCAGAGCCTGGTCTGTGAGAGTACCCGAGCTGCAAAGTTTTGGATGATCTGCAGCTTGTGAAGGGAAGAGTTGGGAAGGCCGATGAGGAGGGAGTTTACATAATTGAGTCTTGATGTGACAAATGTGTGGGTGAGGGTTTCGGCAGCCTGAGGGGTGAGGCAGTGGTGGTATCTGGCAAAATGTTGTGGAGGTGGTGGTCGGCAGTGCCAGTCATGGGGTGGATGTGGGGGAGAAAGGACAGTTCAGGGTCAAACAAGATACTCAGGTTCCTGACTGGCTTAGTGAGGTTGAGTGTGCAGCTGTGAAGGCTGATGCTGCCAGTGCTCGAGGTGCGGAGGAGCTGGCGCGAGCCAATCAGGAGGGCCTTGGTCTTGCTGATGTTGAGTTGGAGAAAGTTGGCCCTCATCCAGGACTTGATGTCAGACAGGCAGTTGGTAGGGACGCCAGTAGTACTGGAGTTGAGGGTGGAGGCAGAGAGGTAGAGTTGGGTGTCATCTGCGTACATATGGAAATTTACCCCATGTCTGTGGATGACGTCACCAAGGGGGAGCATGTAGAAGGTGAAGAAGAGGGGACCGAGGACAGAGCCCTGAGGAACACCGCACGAGACAGTGCGGGGGCTGGAGGAGAAGCCGTTTGCTGCGACGAAGTGGAGGCGGTGTGAAAGGTAGGACCTGAACCAGTCAAGGACAGAGCCTTGAAGGTTGAGGTGGGAGGAGAGGCGGTGGAGGAGGATTGAGTGGCCCACGGTGTCAAAGGAGGCGGAGAGGTCGAGAAGGCAGAGGGAGCCCTGGTCACACAAGGTCAGGATGTCGTTTGTGACCTTGACCAGAGCAGTTTCCGTGGTGAAAACGTCCTGAAAGCAAAACACCGGCTGTGATTGCAAGCTGAGAGTTGTGATCAAATTGTTGTCATTTGCTTTCAGGCATTTCTCCGCTATGAAAAAAACTGAAATGTGGAACAAAAGGTTGGAAAATAGAATGGCTTTTGCTGGGCTTCACATTTTCTTCTATTCCCAAAATATTTTTGAAATTTTTTAAGCGATTTCAGGTACAATAGAAAAATTGCCGGCTGTTTCCTCTCTGCAAATGCCACATCTTCAACCTTTCTGTTGCACAAAGTATAGTCTGTGAATATCGCTTGGCATTTAACTGGGAAACTCAATGTTTCCTGAAAACAAAAATATCAGAAATAGTTCGAAAATGATAAAGCAATAAAATGGAACTAAGGAAAATAAAATAATAAATGTTATTGTGGAATACAACAAACACAAAGGGATACAACTGTTACTGTGACCCAATCTCATGTCTTATATTCATACCAGCATTCTCATGATTTCTGTCATCTAAAGTCCCTGACTTGACATAGACATAATCTTGAAACCTCCTTCCAGGTATCCATTATTCTACATTCTATATGTTCTGAGCCTGTTTGCGTGCAGCAGGAACACTATGATTTCATACTTTGTTGGTGTGCTAATGGAAGATTGTTTCCTGAATTGTCTAAAAACAAACATAACAAGCTGGTCCAGTCACAATCTAAAATAAATGTAGAATAGTTGACAAATATATTTTTTCCTGGGTTAAGACGGTAGTTTTGTTTTACGGGTAACATCTGTTTTGGGAAAATGTTAGCATATAGGTTAACTTGTAAAATATGCTGTTTAATGTGGTTTCTGTCTCCTTTGTAATGCTGGGTCAGCAACTTCTATCCCCATGTAATTTTGGATCAGTGACAGAGAAAATCTGGTTCCAACAGAGCATCAGTTAAAAGAGATAAGCAAGGATGTGGCGCATGATCTTTTCAAATCCTTCTCGTTAATCAAAATAATTTGTACAAGGAATGAAATAACCTATCAATGTTTAATTATTATATCATATATTGGAAATAAAAAAAACCATGAAAGAGCGGTGCAGAAACATGCAACAGAATTTGGCAATAGACTAGTCAAGAGTTGGGGACACTACTGAAGTTCACACATTTTCTCTGAATTGTTTATGAATTTGCTATCACTATTGATTGGCTATTGACCTCACTTCACAAATCATTTACTCCGCCTCCTTTACTCATCCACCAGGGTGTGCAAACCTCTCCTGTTCTTAGAATTAAGACCATTAGGCCCCAAATAATAAATAAATAAATAAATAAATAAATAAATAATAATAAATAATAACTCCTGCCTGTCATACTATTTTGTCTTAAGATTTAAGATGACATAAGAATTGTGTACAATTCTTAAATCCAGTCTTAATCTGTATTACAACAACAACAAAATTATATTTGTTTAGCGCCTTTCACAACACAAATTCCTTCATGTCCTAGAACCTTTTCCCATGTCTGTGATTTGTTCTTAAACCACTCTTCTTACCGCCACCCTTCGCACAGCTATCACAGTCCTGCTGCACGTCCTTCCACAACCCCATTAGTTCAATGTTGACAAGACTTAAGATCTCATAATTGGTTCCCGTCAGTGCCTTCTCATCTTGGGGGTTGACAACAGCCTTCATGGTTGCACAAGCCACCTTGTGGAGCGGGTCAGAAACCCCGTTGTCTTGTTTGACTAACTGTTGTTTATACCCCATATCTGCACATTGTTCATCTTTCCCTCATCTTTGCCTGCCTCCTCCATTACCTATCCCCGTGGACTGTTGAGTCTCTCATCCACCTCTTTATTACATCCAAGTTCAATTATGCTAACACTCTGCTTGTCAGACTCCCCTGCCCTTCCTTACACAGGCTACCGAGCGTCCAGAACTTTGCAGCCCGTGTCCTCTGCTCAGCCCCACTGGCTCCGCATCACCCAATGGATCAAGTACAAGATCCTTATCCTCATATTTAAATTCCTCCATTGTCTCGCTTTTCACATGGTTTTTCGTTACCGTGGTCTCGTCAATTGACAGCAAGTTCACTCAGCATCAGAAATTTTTGAGAAACTCTTCTGCAACAATGCGAGCTCTGACATTGACAGAGAGTTTCATTTCATTGACTTCTTTATCAATCTCCTCCATGAAGTGGATTACAAAGTCGACCAGCTTGTGTTTGAACATTTGCTCGGTGTGGAAATTGGTGATGAGGAAACTGATGTCATAGCCCTCAACCGCTTTCCTCCTCAGAATGAAGAAGTTCTCTGCTCTCATCGTCATGAACCTCATAAACTTATGGCACAAAATCTTCTCAATCTCGTGCAGCCTCCTTCACCCTCACCAATCCGCTATTTCTTTCCCTCCACGGACACTGGCATACTCCATGTCCTTCACTCGACCACCACAGCATCAGAGGGCAGGCTTTCAGACATTTGGATTTTAATCATGTAGCTTTCAGCCACAGACTAAGATTAGGTGAGATTTCAGGCCTTTTATCTTATATTTTAAGATTGTGCGTTTTGGAAAACAATTGCTTGAGAGTGCCTTATCACATCGAAACAACTGAAAATGCTTTTTCAAAATTATTCTCAAGTAGTGGATGTTTTTGTAAGCAAATGTGGCAGTCATTTTCCACAGAACCAGGTTCCACAACAGCCATGAGATCAATGACCAATCATGTGACTGAATGTTCCTGTGGGAAATCTGCTCTGATGCAATCTCCTTCTGTTCCCATCAGAGCCATGGGTCAGTGTGAAGCACATCTAGTGGAGCAAGCTCAATGGACTGAGTGGTCTACTCTTGTTCCTATCTTCTTACCTTCTCATGTTCATTTGCCTGCTTGAATTAAATATTTACAAATTCTTTGTAAATCCTGTTGTGAATACTACATTTTAGACCCCAGTGAAACATTAAACATAAAATCTTCCACAAAATACAGTCAATTCACTTTACAGTGTGTTCTGTGAAGCGCTTTGGGACATCCTCCCGACGTGAAAAGCGCTATATCAAATGCAAGGATTATTATTATTATTACAGTACACTCTGTGAAGCTCTTTGAGACATTTCGATGACATGATAAAGCACTATATCAAATGCAAGGATTATTATTGTTATTAAAATAAACTGCTTGTTGCTTTCCAACATATTTTAAGAAATAGGAGTAGAGGAGTTGAATGATTGAGTTGGTGGTTAAGATCATGGTGTCATCTTATTCAGTGTTAAAGATGACTAACTGTTCAACCAAGTTAATTTCCTGTGGAACCAATTTGTTCTTGGTAATAAAGCAGCTATTTTAATCCTCCTCCGGGTGTCCGTTCACATATCAGCCTTTGAACACTAAATCGTTGTCACCATTGTAGTGTGTTACTGTGGAAACAGAAGGAAATGTTTGCATTTGGAAAGTGGGAAATGCAACAACTAGGACATTTCCTAAAGTTGTGCAACAACCAAAGCAACTGATTACAAGGGTCTGTTGCAATGAATTAATCAGGAGTGAGATCAGAGCATTTATAAGATATGAGCCTGAAAAGGAGATATTTAACCCTTAACTTAACAGAAAATGAATGTGGCCGTGTTTCGTATATTAATATTAACAGATTTAGTATATTTGCTCTGAATAGTCATTATTTCATGTTTGAGTGATCCATGCTTTAGAATGATATAAAAAACATTCACTACCCAAGAAATAGATCCTTGGAATGTGACAGTCATCTTGTTCTGGTTTTACTCATCTTCCTTTTTGCTATAGTTTCCTAAAATATTTAATGATGCAACTGCTCTCTGGAATCCCCTAGCTCTTTGGTGCTCAGTGGAAAATGTGGCGCTGTGGTTTTGACTGTTATAAAAATATCAAGGAACAATGAAGAGAGCAAAACAAAAAGAGATCTGAATAATAACCGTTTATTTTTAAGCTCATTCAAATAAAGCAACACTGGTCATGTCATGGTATGCAAAGAGGTGCAGAATATGCTATGGTGCTGTTAGCACTAGTAAAGCATTTAGCCACACTCCCAATAATCCTCCCCTTAAAATTCCATTGTAAACGTTGTGCTATCCAAAAATAAGGTCAAATTAAGCTCAAGAGTAGTAAGAAGTGATATGTGCAAATTTCATCATCTGTGCATATCACCTAGAACATTTTTACAACAGGTTATTAGAGAGGTGAGGACGAGGTGAAATTACACAATATACAGCTAGGATAATAACAATAATAATAATAATAATTGCATTTGGTATAGCACCTTATCAAGTCACTGAGATGTCTCAAAACGCTTCACAGGATATACTGCAAAGTGCATATGAAAATAAATATGGAAGAATCATATGAAACAATTTTTTTTAAGACCAAGACAATGAGTGAATCAGGTGTTGTTGGGTAGAAGAATAGCACAGAGGTGGTTCGAGGCTCCTTTCCAACATTAGGAATGGATGGAGTGGAGCAGACTCAGTTACTGTAGCTAGAACTGAGGGAAGGGCAGCGCTTGAGTCAGCTTAGCTTGACCTGGGCATCTGCATCACTCTCTACAGGAAGACTTGCACAACAGCTAAAAATCCTTCTTCCACTGATTGGGTCTACTCCTCCGAGTCCCACCTATAAGCCAGGCTGGCTGATCTGTCAGCAGTGCCCTGAAAGCCTGGCTCAGGAATTGAACCTACCGTGAGGCTGGACTGAATTCTGACATTCCGACGTCAAACATGTGATTTTGGAGCCAGCTCAGTTCCAAAGATCCCCATCGACAGAAAACTGGCTTTAAGTTTCAGATTGGATGCTCTGAAATGCTTAGAAAATGGAGTAAATCTGGATCCAGGTTAGAAGCCACTGGCACCCGGAGGTGGGGAGCAGGGTGGGGAGGTGGGGGGTGGAGAAATGTAGTATCATGTGCCTTGTGGAGAGTTGAGCTGGGAAGGCTGGCATGAAGAGCAGACAAAAAAAAGTCTGAAATTGACAAAGACGTGGGCTTCAGGGATGAGGGGTGAGGTCGGGATGGAGGTGGGTGAAGTTGCAAAGATAGAAGAAAGTGTTAAAGGAGAACTGGAAATCTATCAAAATACAGAAACTGTACTGTCTCTGTGAGCTGGACAGAACAGTCGGTGAGGTTGATATGGCTCTTTTTTAGTGATGACTGTACCAACCTCCCTGTCGGGAGGTGATGACGGAGGCCAAGCAGGAGAGTTTCAGTTTCGTCAACATTCAGTTGAAAGACGCTCATCCAGGACTTGATATCTAACAGGCAACCTGTCAGAACAGCAGTGGTCCTGGAGTCATGGGTGGACTGCCTGCATCACTGATGAACAAGATACGCAAGTATGAGCAATGGCAAAAAATAATGCCTCATCTTAGAACATGAAAGAATATCACTATAACCACAAAGATGTAGTGGAAACATAAATATGAAGTCAATTATATTTGTTACAGTTATCAAATACATAGACAAGTGAAAAGCAACTGAAATTATGCAGTAGGTATTGGGAACTAAACGTAGGATTTGTAAGGGATTCAAACATACAGAATCCTACTAGTCACTGGATGTTCATCAAGCCAAATGACTGGAAATCTACAATGTTCTTCCAGGTCCACTGAAGCAGAGTACCTGCAAATCAATAACTTTTCTTCTGAATTGTGCCTTTAATATCATGTTTATAGTGTTAATTGGAGTTCAGCCAGCAGGAAGGTCAAATCCCAAATTGCAATTCCGAAATTAGCAATGGCAGAAACCAGCACCACCTCAGCATTAACTGAGAGTGGAATCGCAATTCCTGATTTATTTATCTTCTCTCCTTTCACTCAGTACTTCTACTGAGACAGTCACAAATGCAATTGAGAAACAAGAAAGCTTAAAATGTACACACAGACACAATGCATCTTTCACCTTGACTCTACACTTTCTGTTTTACAGGCAGGATAAACTAATCACAGGAAATAAGTGAATTTAATTCTATATAAAAAAAATTGACAGTACCTGTTAGAAAGGCACGTTGCTGGGTTACATATAAATAAACTGAACATGCTACAATCATAGTTATTATTATCTGATGATCTATTTGTCACTAATCTAATTCTTGCAAAGATAACTCTGCTAAATAGATTCAATAATGCCTCACAGTTGCTAAATCAGTTCAGTCTGCTGATTCAACTCCAGCTGCTAAAATTAATCCTCCCAGGACTGATATGGTGATATAAAAGATACCGACATAAATTCTGGTCTCAGCCTTGTTCATGAAACATCGCTTCTGCCACACAGTGATTTGGAGCAGGGAGCAGAATTTATATACCCACTTCCTGCTGCTTTAATTGGGGATTGTGCAGAGCTCTGTGCATACATTACTAAAAGCACAAACAGAGTTTTGTTAAATTATTCTTGAATAATATATTTTTTAAATCCTTTACAATAGCCATGTACTGGACCGAAAAAAAACATTGCAGTGGGTTTGGCTGGTTCTAAAGTAAAACAAATGCTTCACCACTTTCGCTGTGAGCCTGGATTAATTGGTAGTGCTAAATAAGAAGGTTGTGGATCCAAGCCCCATCGGGACTTGGATGTCATCTAGTCCAACCTGGCACTCCAATGGAGTGCTGGGGGTGCTCCACTTCCTTTCTCTTCATTTCTCTTTGTTTACTTGTTTCCACCATGTTTTTCTGTTCTGAATCGGTATTAACATACTTCAGATATTTTCCTGAGGCCAATAATGACCTTGTTTTGGTGGTTGAGGGCCATGTTGTGGATGATTTGTTCCAGAGCCTCATTTTGACCAGCTTCTCTTTTGAACATTCAATTACAACTCTTCCAGACACTATTACAAACTGAATTGATCAGCATTAAGTTTCCCACATTAAAAAAAATCATCTTTTCATTTGTAAAACCTTTAAACTCTTTCAGGGTAAATGCACTGAAATTTCAATTTATATATTCCTTATCTAGAGAAACCTATTTGCCAATGGTTCCCAGCAATTTCCTAACAATCAGCCTTGACTAATTTATATTGCAATGCGTAATACAACAGAGAAGACTCAACAAAGCAGATTGTTCTATCACTCCGACATACAGCCACTATAAAATGGAGTGGGCCAAATGGTAAACCACTTTAATGCAAAAGCTCTTAGATTTTTTTCTGAATATACTGATTTTCAACGAACATAATTTATTTTAGAATTCGCAGTGATTTTCAGCCCTTTCATTGTAAAGATCAAAAAAGAGTCATTGTTTAATTGAACAATAACTTCCATTTCCTGAAAGCTTGTGAGCCAGGGAATAGCTCCTGAGCTGATTCATACCAGGGACACAGGCCAACAAACTGATCAAAGAATGTGAGTC